CATAATAGTTTGTTTTTTTGGCGAAAGAATGGTTGTCTATCGTTCGCCTTTTTTTTGCAATGGTAAAGTTCGACACCCCCCTCCTTGTATGCTTCTGGCAGACGACTAAGCTTAGGCAATAAAGTTCCTGGCCGCAAAGTTGTGAAGCTCCTAAGTACGGCTAAGAGGTGTTTAGGAGAGTGACCCCTCAACACCTCTTGGGTTTTATGTCTAGGGGAATGACCCCTACCGCTCCCGTTGGGTGGGCAATTATGGCTGATGTCATGAAGGATACTATGGAGGAAGCCTGTTTAGACTTTCTACAGTAAAGATAGGGCAAGAAAAGTTTAGACGATTTTTCCGATAACGGTAAGGTTAAAAATAAAAACAAAGCTGAAGAACAATTTAACAAAATAATAATAGCGTTTAAGCAGTTGTCAAATTTGATTTCTGGATTAAATAGAGAAAGTAGGGAAATAAAGTTAAATAAAGAATAAATTGCAAAAAAGTCAAAAAGCAAATAGAAGACCTAAAGTAATTTATTTACAGATTATTACAGAAATTAAAACCTAATTAATGAACACAACATCAAAATTCCTATACAAGACAGACCCACCCCCCCTCCCCAATTGGGAGCGTTAAAATCAGCTTCTACCAAATATCACGCAGCTATCGCAGGTAACGGCATAAAATGCAAAGGAATCAAAAAACCGCTAACCCCGCCCTCTGAAACATTTACAATAGCTCTTTCGTCGAGCTAAACTGCAGTTAAAGGAGGGGACACTAAAGATAAAGGCAGAAAAGCTATGTAAATTCCTTTCCAGACTTATTGTCTTTAAGGGGTCGGCAGACTGAAGGAAGAAATAGATGAAGTTTTGAAACAAAATTTTAGTAATGCACTCACTTTACTAAAGATAGAATCTTTATTCAAGGTTGTCCCTAAAGGAAAAACCTGGTAACCTACATCCCCGGGGTTATGAAATATATCTCAGATGCTAGGAAAACACTACTTCAGAATATACATCTGTTGGAACTCTCGTAAGGTTGAGAATATCTCAATTACTAAATGCTATAAATGCCAAGACTACGATCACGTCGCTACAAAACTGCTTGTGGCTACTGTGGTAAGGAGCATCACTCACGCGAGTGTCCCTAGTGTCCCTATAAAAAAACATAATAAAAAAGCACAAATGCATACTCTGCTTAAATCTCAAGGTAGATTTTAATCATAGACCGAGGGACAATAAGTGCACAACATATAAAAGGAAACTAGAAGCCTTTATTGCTAATATTGACTTTGGTAATGGAGAGGTCTAATACAGAAAATATCAAGATTCATCAACAGAACAGCTCCTCTGGATTGCATTAACAATTTTGTAAGAGATAATATTGATATCTTACTGGTTCAGAATCCGTACACGAACAGTCGTTTCAATAAGTCTTTTGCTCCTGGTCTGGCTAGCGCCACACTCGAGACACATGGACCCAAGGCGAGAGCAGTTGTGTCAAAGCTTTATATCTAGAAGATGTAAATAATATAAAATACAAGATTCGGAAGACAATAGCAAGCTCGTGTGCTTCTTTCGTGGAGGAAGACCTTCTATCCAATTCTTGGAGCGTTACGTATAAATTAACAGCAAAAAGTCTTTCAACAGGAACTTCCTTTACTCAGTCAACAATAGTGGCTCCGATACGTTGAACTCCCTGGACACAGCTAGCGCTATAACTGACTCCATCGGAAACAGTTTTTGAATCAGATACCTGAGGGGCATTGCAAATACCAGAAGGGCAGCCCCAACTACAGAAAAAAATAAGGGAGCAGCAGAGTAAACTTTATGTTGCATTCTTCGACCTTTTACTCTGTAAACACGAGATGCACTTTGGGTAAATATGCAAAAGTATTGGTCGCCAAGAAATTAATTTAGCTTTAACTATTATCTAGACAAACTAAGAAATCTGGTTAGATAAGAGACTCTAGGAAACCGCTGCACAGTGGTCTAAATGGAAAAATTACGATACTCAATTTTGTTTTTGAAATAATGGAAATAATTGTCATTTAAAATGTTTTTATGTAAAATTATACTCATCAAAAAGATTTTTTACATTTTTACCTTCCTATTTTATATAGAGGGTGTTCAATTAGTGCGATAAAGTCCAATATCTCGTTTGCTATTAAGAATTTTAAAATAATGCTAATACAAAAGTTATAAGTAATAATGAATTGCCTCTTGTTAAAATATTTTTAATTAACGGGGTGTATCAGAAAAGTGCTACAAACCAAACTTCAGTTTTTTTTAAATAAAACACCCTATATATTTTTTAAAAGTTCTATTCCTGGTGCTTTTTCCAGCATTTTGATATATAGGGGTGAATGGTTTATACCATGTGTATCAAAAGTTACAGCCATTTTTATTTTTGACGTTCTATACCATTAACAGTACCTAATATTATTTTGTTTTATTGCGTCAGGATATTAACAAAATGGTATTTTGTCATTTTATTTGTTGAATTTACAAGTGAATATTACAACTTAAAACAATGTTGACAATGTGCAGCAGCCTAAAATAATTTCTTATTTTTGCACTACATCTCTAGCAGAATTTAAGCAAATAATGCCCATCCCTAGTTTATACCGCTGCAATTTTGGTAGTACCGTGAATGCTGTTCGATGTGGTGGCGCATGGTTTCCATTTATATTATTAGTTAAATTATTCTTTAAGTGTTATTAATAACTTTCCTGAACTTCCTTGTTTCGAGCACAGTTTGGTGTGTATTTACTTTTTGTCGTCAGAAGATAATCTCTGGCAGAATTTTAACGTTTTATTCGGATTTTTCGACACTTTCATTTCAACCACGGTGAGAAGTCCCAGGATGGTTCTTATCTTCCTATAAAATTTTTTGTACATCGTATGTGGCGGAGAATAGCCCTGTGAGTAAGTTATAGTTTTTTTTTCTTTTACTTTCTTTCGTATACTTAGAGAAAAAATCATTTATTATAGATGTGTCCCTTACCATCATAAGGGGAAGAATTGGTATTTTGGGAGTTTTTTGAGTAGATTTTGGGTGCAACTTTCGTTTTGGAAACGAGAAGTTTATTTGAGAACATTTTGGACGAGTTTTTTGAGAAGATTTTAAGAGCAACAGTAGTTTTTTGAGCCGAAGTTTTGAGCAGTTTTTGGTTTTATGAATGGTTCCGTGTAGGTTCCCTGTTGGAGGCTGGTGCGAATTGACGAGTTTCTCCCTTTTCCGCAAAGTTTCAAGTTTTCTGATGGTATGAAGCAGTCACGTAATGGATATGGTCCCAAGTACGATAACAAATCAACACTGATTGACTACAGCTTCAGAGCAAAAGCTCTGATTTAGAATACTTTTTGATCTTTTTCTTAACTTTCTACTGAAACTTACTTTTTATTGAAACCTTTTTATTTTTTTACGTTGGGTAATTTTTATTTATTAATATTTAATTTAAGTTTCGATTTTTTCCTTTTTTTTTCTTTTTTATTTATTGAAACCTTTTTATTTTATTACGTTGGGTAATTTATATTTATTAATATTTAATTTAAGTTTCGATATATCAAAATAATATTAAATTATTGTTTTTTAAATGACCTTTTAATTCACTTTCAAACTGGAGTTATTTAATTATTAATAAATGTACATAGTTTTTTTATTAAATTTTGTTGTTTTAATTTGAGATATATCATTACTGAACATCTTTAGCCTGTGGTAATTTTCTTAATTTTTTAAATATCACCTTAACTTGGCTTAAATTAAGTGGTGCCCAACAATATGCAAAAATAATTAAATGAACCTATTGACCTATTGTTCACCAGACGAAGATCAGCTGTACGCTGCGGTTTTCTTTTTAATTTTTAAAATCCTTTTTACATAATTTTTTTATAACTTTTTAAAAAGTAGCCGCAGATAAAATAGCGCCCAAGACGTGAGGGCCCGATTGTTTTTGCATTTAATTTTTTTAATGATATATCTCGAATATACTTTTTTGCATTGTGGTATTTATTGATGCACACATTTAACAGACAAGTTTTTCTGTCTATTTGTTCCTATATCGCCAGCCGTTTTGCAGATAAATTGTTTGGAGATGTTTAAAATATTTTAATATTTTACCTTCCTTTTTTTCTAACGGACTTGAATTTCTTGAGGTTTTTTAAATTGATGCGGTAACAATTTATTTGAACTATACACATTGCTCTTTTATGCATTTTCATTAATAGTTATTTGAATACATTGAATATACAGGGTGTAACAAGTATTTTTACAGTTAATAATTTTTTCAATTAATTTAAAATTTGAATAAGTAAATATACAGAGTGTTATAGATATTTTTAAACAATTATTTTGTCATATAATTTCAAATTGAAAAATACACAGTGTTTCAAACTTTTTTAAATTTGATAAGATTTTCTAATTAATTTAAATCTGAATAAATAAATGGATAGTAGGTAGCAATTATTTTTAAATTTATGTTTTTGTCAATTAATTTTAATTTGAATAAGTAAATATACCCAATTTCTTAAAACTTGATCAAGATAATATTTTGTCGATATTTCTTAGCTCCTGTATAGGCTAACATAGGATTCCTAATTTTACCTGACACTTTTTCTCTGATAATTTTGAATTTAATATTTGAAATAAAGCTGACAATAACATAAAGGACAATAACACTCGAAGCGTCGGTGGTTCCCACTGATGTCATTGAGAGTACTCAAACTGCTCCTCGTGGTCAAACACGAGCTAAGCGGCCGCTTCATGCAATACAGGAAACCAAAATTCCTCAGAATTTTGAGGAATTCCTGCATGAGGTTAGGCCGCTTATTCCATTTCAGCAGTTTCAGCTAAGGAAGATCCTTAACTCAGTATTGGTGGGCTCTAGCTGGGAATTAACTCTCGAAATCGAGAGCTGGCTGGAGTCCTTGAAATCAAAGAAGCCCAAGGGCTAAAACACCGGGGCTAATCGAGAGTGCCTGGACTCGCAACCTGTGCGAACTCGCAATTATAACATGCACACCGGCGACAGGGGAAACCGCACCGCCGAGTACACGAAGGCTCAGGATATGTACGGAAAGGACAGGTCAAATCTGGCCGATATTCTGTTATCTGGCAAGGGCATGTATGAGGCACCTGATGTCCCAAGTCTAGAAGACGTCGAGAAGCTATACGGTGAAGTGTTTGAAGACGATGAACCAGTCAGCATTGAGAAAAGGGGTGCATCTACATTTTACCCCATCTCCTTTGCTGAAGTAAGAGATGCAATTAAAGGGTGGCAGAACAAAGCCTGCCGCCAAATGCTGCAAAATATATAATAAAAATAAGAAAAACATCATGCTTAGGGCATATATTGAGAAATGAAAAATACCACGTCTTACAATTGATAGTTAACGGTAAGATTGAAGGAAAGAGAGGTCTCGGCAGGAAGAAACTATCTTGGTTCAGAAACATCAGAAACTGGACTCACCTAACTTTTGAAGAACTTATAAGGAAAGCCGAGAATCGTGAAGATTTTTCCAATGTGATCGCCAACCTCCACGAAAGAGACGGCACGTAAAGAAGAAGAACAAAGCCCCCGGTCTGGATGGCCTAACGGTCCAAGACGTGAAGAGAGTCCCCCACGACTACTTAAGCCTTGTGTTTAGTGTGATCGTAGGTAGGAACGTCCAGCTGCCAGCTTATAAGGAGCTGCGCACAGTTCTAGTCCCTAAAGAGGGTGACCGAAGACTAGCGACCAATTGGAGGCCCATTACCATCGGGTCGGCCGCCCAAAGGCTTCTCCATTGAGTTCTGCAGAGAAGATTTGTGAGTAAGGTGGAGTTATGTGCGCAACAGCGCGGGTTTAGGGAGATCGATGGTACCTTGGCCAATACACTGCTTCTCGACCATTTTATTGGTACGAGACTCAGCAAAGGCCAGGCGTACAATGTCGTAGACCTAAGCAAAGCGTTCGACTCCGTCTCTCACTCATCGATCTGCAGGGCTCTAAAGGGGGCAGGGATTGTGGGGGGTTTAGTGGAGTCGAGCATCAACGGTTGCAATACGACTATTAAGGTTAGCACCGCATGCACCCGGCGCTTATCTCTTCGGAGAGGTGTCAAACAGGGTGATCCATTGTCTCCACTCCTCTTCAATTTAGTCATGGAGATAAACACAGAGGGGGCTCTCTGGGTAACGATACGAGTGTTGACCTTTTAGGATTTGCTGACGACATAGTCGTCTTGAACGACAGCCAAATCGAAATGCAACTGGCGCTTAACGACGTCAGTCATTCTTTCAGCGCCGGGGAACGACCGTGAACCCGTCCAAGTCAACCGCCCTTGCGACGGCGACTTGCAGTGGCGATAAGTGGCCGCTACCTATTTCGCGGCGCATTTTCATCATCTCGGGGAGGATGATACCATCTCTGCAGGTGATCTCGTCTTTTAAGTACTTGGGGCATTACTATGGTCGTACGGGCCTAAACAAGCCAAATGTCCCTAACTTGCAATTTTGGCTGAGAGCGGTGGAGAGGGCACCATTGAAGCCGGATCAGAAGCTATGTATCATTAGTAGCTATCTGGTACCCCGGCTCCAGTACGGCCATCAGAGTACTTCAGTCACAGGGGCTATTCTGAAGGATGTGGACCGGTTGGTGCGCGGTGCGGTAAAACGTGTCGTGCATCTTCTGTGACCGCTGTTAAAGGAAAGAGTGTCAGAGAGGAAAAGAATGTAAATAGACCAGGATGGAGGGCGCCAAAGAGAGTACACAGTTTGATGGTCACAGCGAATGAGCAATCCAAGCCACTAATAGCGGTGAGAATGATTAGTGAGAATCTGAGGGGGGTTAGTAAAGGAGGGGGTAAAGATTAGCAAGCTGAGGACGGGCCAGGTCATTGTTGAATTTGAGGGTATGGAAGAGAATAAAAGAAATGCAAAAGAATTGGAAAAGGTGACTCCACTGAACATAAAATCAACGGGAAAAAACTCAATACGCATCAAACCTTAATATAATAATTTTATAAAATAAGTAATGATGGCATAGATTGTTAAGTCGAGGATTAATATTAGTTTGTCTTCGTAACAATTATAAATATGCATAACAAATTAATATATCGCATGACAGAAAAAATGCGTTACAGAGGGCTTGGAAAATTTTTTAAAATAATGTCTACTCAATCTCTTTATGACTCTGCATAAGGTTTTTTTCAAGATCTCATGTAAAAGATTAATTTTTAAACATAGTTCTGCCTATTTATTTAATATGTATTCTTGGAGGGCATAAACAAAGGTAGATGGTTGTAAAGATGTTATAACACACAGATTTTGATCTGTTTATATTTTATAAACAAGAAACTTAACCCCATTCACTAGAATTAGTATATTGAATTTAAAAATGCTCTTTTTAGAATATTTTACTATATCTAGAATATACTGATATCCAATTTTCTTTTGCATTTCGTTCATAATCTTTATTTTTAAATTAAAAAAGTGAATATAAATGTGTCGTCATTTTAGGTGCAACATCCTTTTTTATAAAATTAAGCCTAAAAATAACCAGACGTTTGGATAATTTGGATACTTTGTATACTCATGATTTGAAACTAAAATCTTAAACCTTAAGATATGCATATGATAAAATAGGTAATCTTTTACAGATATTTTACCCAAAACTAAACGAAGCCGACAAGGCAGTTTTAAGGCATAATTTCAAGATTTTCATACAAGAAGATTCGCCGATGGTCAGAAGAGGAGCAGCATTAGCTTTTGAGGACTTCATATCGGTAGTCGAAGACGAGTTTGTGAGACATGAATTTGTTCCTATGTTTTGCGACATCGCATTGGATCCTATGGTAAAACACCTTTAGTTTCACAAATAACAATGTTTTTTAACCATCTAGAATATTGAGAATTAAATAAACATGTAGCTACTTATTTCTTTTTATAGGAAGCAATTAAATGCATCTCGATAGATATAGCAATCGCTTTGGCAAAACGACTAGGTGAAAGTCCTTTAAACGAATCGATTTTCAAGACTATAGAAGCTGCAAGTGGTAAGTACTTGGTTAACATTTAATAATTTATTCACAATTGAAGAGATGCTGAAATGTATCAAACAAAATTAGGGTATGCCAAAATCCAAAACTTTTTGAAGAGAAACTTCTCACTGCGCGATGGGAGTAAAAATTTAAGGCTATGACACGCCAGGGCCTTAAATGTTCATCGATATACACACATGGCCAAAATTATTGCATATAACGATATTTTTATTTTATTTTGGACCTAATATGATTCTTTTTATATTTTTGGATATATTGGCTTACTACATGACTAACTAATATAAAATTATAAATCTAAGTGCAACTAGGCTGTTATTATAATTTTATTTCATGATGAGTGAAAATCAACAAAAACAAATTTCATTTTAAACAGAAAATATTGAAAACAATTTTAATTATTTCTCACAACTAATAGTCTGTATTGGATCCTCGAGCCTCAATGCAAGCTGTGAGACAACGAACGTGGCATGCTCTCAATTAAGTTGTCCAGAAGATGTTGAAGAATGGCTACCCATGTTTCGCGCCCAGCAATTTTCAATTCATTTAAGGTACGGGGGGATCATTCCTTTTGGCAATATGGCGTTTTAGCATGTCCCAAGCATGCTCGATCACATTCATATCTGGAGACATCGGTGGCCACCACAGTTTTCTTATACCCTCTTCCTCACAAAATTCGCAAACCGCTAAAGCGCGATGGGGAGGAGCATTATCGTCCATGTAAACAAATTCATCTCCCACTGCCCCACAATGGGGTATTTGACACAGATAGTTAATCGAAATTTTTTTATGTAGACCTTATATAAATTATTGCTATTTTCAATTAAAGAGGAAATAATATGAACAAAATAAAGGATAATTTGTCGATTCTAAAAAAAGATAGAAAAATCACTGTTCCAGTGTTTCCACAAATTAAAAATTTTAGGAAATATGGCAACAATGTAAAAAAGTAAAACATGCCTTAAATAGAGAAAAAAATTCTCTACATTGTACGTATTTACACTTTTTCGATAATATATAAGGTTTAGAAGTTATTGGGCTTTAAATTATAACATTTCAAAATGTGCCATTTTTCCAAAAATTTCAATATTTTTTAATTAATTTATTTTTGATCTTAGAAAATACTTTATTTGAACTTTTTTATGCAGAATCACGAGCTTTATCGAAATCCATTTTTAGAAGTTTCGAAAAAAATTATATAAAGGCTATTTTAGCCAAAAAATTAAAAATGAGAACTTATAAGAAAAAATTTCAATTTAAAAATTTTCAAAAATTTCAACAAATAAAAAAATCGTCTATACACCATCGGTTAGAGCGTCAAATTACTTACAATTTATGTCACAGAGCCATGTCTCTACGACTTACTGTTTCCGAGATATACCTATTCAAAAAAATGCCGATAGCTGCCGATTTTTTCCATTTTTTATCAATTTTGGGACATTTGTCCCTAAATCTTAATCTTTGAGTTCTAACGAAAGTAGGATAACCCAAATGGGAAAACTAATTATATGGTCACATTCAGGATTTTTTGGGCTATTTTTTTTCCAAATAAAGTTTTTTTTAAAATCAGTTTATAATTATTTTTTTTATTGCCGCCATTTTGAAAAACTTTGGAGGGAAACTGACCCTCACCCAAAAAGAGAATTTTTTTTTCTATCTAGCCCCCCTAGTCCGATATTTATTAGCAATTTTTTGTTTTCAAAATCGAGCGTTGCGCTTATGCGCAGCCTAGGGGGGGCACGGAAGATTTCCGGTGTAGGGTGGCAGCGGTGGGGTTACCCCAAGGAGTGTAATGCACGTATTCATATTTTGATCAAAAATTGCGAAAATAAGATTTTAAATGTCCCCCCAAAGAAGGGGGGCAGGGGGAATTTTTTCATTATTTTTCTCGGAATCCTCACGAGCTCCTGAATACGGTAGCATTTTGTTTTTTTCATTTCTGCATACTTTTTATATTTGCTTCAATTGCCACGCCCATTGCTTCAAGACTAAATCCTAATGCTTCAGGTGGGGCATAAAACCACGCCCCCAACCCGATCCTGGCCTTAGATTTCGATTTCGGGACTCCTTTCAACGTTTTTGAGCACCCTGCCCCCCGAGGGGTGAGGGGGGGAATTTTTTCATTATTTTTCCCGGACTCCCCAGGGCTTCAGGACTCCAACGGACTACTCTAAAATTCGATTGCTGCAATTTTCAAAAAATTTCCTGAAGCTCCAGGACTTCGTTTATGGTAGAGGCCACGCCCACTTTTTGGCCCTTTTTTAAAGCGTCCCCTTGCTTCGCAGGGGGCTAGAAAAAAATTGAAAAAATCCTAGTCCGACATAATTCGACCTCCTCTTTCGAATGGCGCTACGCGCTTTCCCCTACTACCCCTCCTTCCCCTACTTTTAGGGGGGTGCCCCCCTTCGGGGGGCACCTGGAATTTTTTTAATATTTTTTTCGGACTCCTGGGGTCGTACTGCGTACGACCATATATGACAGAACCGATTTGGACGAAGTTTTCGGATAGCTAGTAGACTTCGTTTATGGTTGACTAGCCAAAAAATACAGGCATAGAAATCTCATATTTTCTCAATTCTGCAACAATTAATAACAATCGTTAATATAAAATGGAAAAGTAAAAAAATATAACAATATTAAATATAATAGAACAGTCATGAAGTTTCAGTATAAAACTGCACAAAAGGGATAGTATATATTTAAAGTGGAACAGATATAAAAAAGTGCAAACAATTAATTGCAATAACAATCAATTATCTTATGATTCTACTGTATTGTATATTTTTATCAGAAAACAATCCATTTTTTGCATCTACACAATCCATTTTTTGCATCTACAAATACATCACGCAGTAGTTGTGATGCACTTGTACTTTTACTTATATGGAATGTAGTGCTTCAAGAATTTGGTTTAGCACCGATGTACGCCCATATGCTTTTTTATGTGCCGTTTCTGATATTTCACAAGCATTCCTGCTCCCTATAAAGCTGAACATACTTAAATATCTTATCTTCAATAATTTTACGGGTCATTCTACTGGGAAATTTCAAAAGTTAATATCTATATATAAGCTCCGTATAATCACACCAATAAACAATTACGGACTATAAGTCTAATTTACCAGTTTATTCAATATCTGGCTCCAGTTTCACTGGTAGACCAGCGCAGCGCAGGCATGGTGGTGGCCTCATGTAAGTACTTTTTCGTGCCAATCACTGGTAAGAAAAAAGAAGTTTACATGGATAGCATAAATACCAAAAAGCAGCAATACCAAAATAAAAGAATTAAAAGTTATTATTACTGCATATTTTTAGGGTAGAGTTACGGATGCCCCAACCTAACTTGTATTTGTATTATGCTGGCACGTTGGCGTCCCTTTTCTTTTGTCCTCCAGAATGTCACATGGAAGAAAGGACAGGTTCTTTATTATTTAGTGAGCCCTCGGAAGTAATTCGAGGTAGGTTCATTTAGTTTATTAGACCTTGTTTGATTTTAAACAAGAGTTTGGTATTTTTAGGGTCTTATGGACGGACTGTGTCCAAGGTTATGGTCCAAGGTTATGGTCCAGGTTACGGACATTATCCAAGGTCCTAGTAGTGTTCCAAGGTACGGGTAGTGTTCCCATATTGCCACAGTATGGATACAGCGTAAGCCCCATGCTGCTTCGCTCCCATTTCTAAGCTTAGTCAGTAGCTACGGCTGTATTGATTCATGGTGTCCTCATTCTGGCCCCTTTTGTTGTTTTGGCCAACAGGCTCGCCGACAGACAGTACAGAGATATGAGCCCACCTCACGCTGCTACTCTTTGAAACAAGATTGCCTCAAGAACCGCTAAGTGTAGATTTAGTTTCTGGTTTTCAGTCGATTTTCAGTCTTAACTTAACGTACATTTTAAATAATATCGTACAGACTATATTTAGTGGTTAGATTATTAAGAAAATTTATGTCGATTTAGTTGTTATAATATGGTTTAGATTTTAGGTTTAATTACATTACGCCCTAGTAATAGTATTACTTTCTATAGATATTATTATTACGCTATATTAACAGATGAATAACCAGACATAGATTCTAGAATCTACAGGTTGCAACATATCAGATTTAACACCGCATAAAATTTAACAATTTAAATAAAGTAATGCTACCTTTCTTATATTATCTATAACGTTACACGTATTATAATTTTTCATAGTCTTTTCATAGAACATATTTAATATTATTTACATACATAGCTTTACTCGACATATAACCACTACAATAATTATTAAAATTGTACAATGCTATTCACCATCAGGATACATCATGAATGAATATAGTCACTAGTTTTAAGTAATAAACAACTGTGTTTTCTTTCTCTGTTCATGCCTGGCGCCCAATATTTATAATTTCGAGTTATTATTGTTAATTAGTTCTTTCCAGTGAAATACCTTATCCACTGTATTTACGAACGAAAACTACCTTATCCACTACTCTACCAACGAAAAGCTGCCGTTCGCAGTGGTAATGTTTATAAAAAACGCTACAGTAGAAGTGTTAAAAACTTTAGAATTGCAACAACAAAATTTCAATTTTTTATCACGTTGTTGAATAACAAGCATTCGAAAATGAACATTGAAGCATTTAATCATCCGTGGTGTAAAATGTCACCGTCTCAATGAAGATTAATGTTCAGATTTTCATGTCATTAAGATAATAGCGTATGTTTGAACATATAGGGAAAATATAAAACGTGTTTCAAAATACTGGAAAATGAGAACGAGCTTAAAAATGTAATAAATCTTGATTTACCAAAAAAAACATGTTTTAATATTTAATAAAATTGAAAAAAATAAACATAATTTATCATTTGAATGTTTATTTTTAATAATATTTTTATTGATATGTCAACCATAAATTTTCTGAAATAATTTGTTACGGGTAACTAAATCCTAAAACCATGAAGATTATATACTAGAGCCAGGCATATACACCTGTGAAGGAGTGGGATGTAGTCAAACACTAGGTTGTTCACTCGTTCATATTGTGAAAATTTC